TTTTTCATTCTATCCTTCCTCATTACAATGACAAAGGCTCTCAAGTTCTTGTGAATGAACATTGGGTTAAATAGACAAAGGAAGGAGGAGAGAGTGCAGTTGTGTAGGACCTTGGGGGGGGGAGGGTGGACTTTGCTTTTCTTTCCCTTCTGTACTCAAGCTGTGGATTCTTTACTGGCCACCTTTCCTTCCAGGATAGCAGCTGCTGTGTGTTTTGTCTAAAGACTACATGTTCCACAATGCAGTTCCCACCAGGCAGCTGGAGTTAGCCTGGTATTCTCTCTGGTTACAATAAAGTCAGTAAAAACAAAGCATTTGGGATGAGCTGGGCCCACTTTTAGGTCCAGATTTGTTTCCAGGGCTGGATCCAGAATTCTCTGTGGAGCACTTTTAATTTTCAAAAATTCCAGTGTAGTTTCGAAGATAATTACCTCTCCATACTGTGAGACAGGAAACTGACATTAAAAGGACTACCTAGGAATCATAGAATCTTTTTTAAAAATTAAATTACATTTTTAATGAACAAAAATCTACCTTCTCTCTCTTCCATCCCGCTCCCCTCAGTTGAGAATGAAATAAAAAGAAAACCTCTGTCACAAACATTTACATTTAAACAAAACAGATTTCTGCAAAGGCTATGTCTAAAAGAGAAAAATTGTGCATGAAAGAGAGAGAGAGAGAGAGAGAAAGAAAGAGAGAGCGCTTTTGCAGTCTGAGGATTTCACTTCTCTATCAAGAGTTGGGTAGTTTTTCATCATTAATTCTCTGGAGTTATGGTTGGTCATTACACTGATCAGAGTTCCTAAGTCTTTCACAGTTGTTTATTTTTATCGTATTATCATCGCATAAATTATTCTTATAGTTCTTTTTACTTCACCCTGCATTAGTTCATGTAAGTCTTCCTAGGTTTCTCTGAAACCATCCCCTTCACCATTTTATATAGCACAATAGTATTCCATTTCATTTCTGTACCATAATTTATTCAGCCATTCCCCAACTGATGGACACCCTCTCAGATTCCTATTTTTGTCACCTCAAAAAGAGCTGTAAATATTTTTTTAACAACCTTGGTTAGAATTTGCTTAGTTAGGACTAATCCCTCACATAACCTACCCTCCAAGACCTGCTTTACCCTCTTTCTTTTTCCTCCTATTTTCCTGTTGAGTGAAATGTATTTCTGCATACATTCTGTGTGTATTTTCCCCTTTGACCAGTTTATGAGAGTGAGATTTGTCAGCTATTCTCCCCCCACATTCCTCCTTATTTGTACAGACTTCTACTTGTACACTTGCAGTATGTAGGATAGTTGTCCTTAATCTTTCTTTCTCTTCCCCCCTGATATATTCATCTTCCTCTCTCTTTCCATTCTTCTTTTAAGATCATCAAGAGCTACTCCCAGGCCTTCCGTCTAATTAGATCCCCTCTATGAACCCTAATGGTGATAGGTTCAAAGGAGACACATATATCCTTTCCCCATATTAGAACATAAGTTTACATCCTATCTATTGCAGTTAAGTCTTGTTTATATGATTGATCATTCTTATTTACCTTCTAATGTTTCTATTAACTCCTGAAAAACTTCAAAGTTTCTGTTGAGCTCCATTCTTGCTTCTTTATAGTGGTGGCTGCTAAGTAGTGTGTCAGGCTAAATCTGACAGTGGCGCCTCAGTACTTGAATTCTTTCTGACTGCTTAGAGTACTTTTTCTTTGACATGGAAGCTCTGAATTTTGGGTATGATGTTTCTGGAAGTTTTTATTCTGGAGTTTCTTTGAGGAAGTGATTAGAAGATTTTTTTTCTATTTCTACTTTGCCCTTTCTCTAAGAAATTCAGTAGCTGTCTTATGATTTCTTGACATTTCAAGGCTCTTTTTTTTTGGTCATGATTTTCAGGATATCCAAGTTTCTCTCCTTAATGTCTTCAAGGCCAGTACTTTTTGCTGATACCTTACATTAAGATACCTTATATTTTCTTCTATTTTTTTTCAGACTTTTGATTTTGTTTTAATATTACTTATTGTCTAGTTGAGTCTTTGGCTTCTACTTGGACCACTCTCATTGCAGGAAATCTGTTGCTTAGGCAAAGTTTTGTACCTCCTATGCCAAGCTATTAACTTTCTTTCCAATTCTTTCTTCCATAGCTCTCATTTCTCTTCCAGTTTTTTCTTCTAATGTTTTCATTTCATTTAAATAAAATTTTAAACTCATTAATTTTTATTTCATCTCTTCCAGGAATTCTAGTTGAATTTGTCTCCAAGCTATGTTTTTCTTTGAGGTTTTGCTTATAGATATTTTTAGTGTACTTCCCTTCTTCAGGGTTCATGTCTTGAATGTAATAATAGCTTCTTGCATTGGGATTCTTAATTTGCTTGTCATTTTTCCAGCTTACTTCTTAACCTTGTACTTGATGTTAGGGCCAGGCTTTGCATACTTCTGGAGGGAATGTGAGGGCTAGTCTTTTGTTGCTTTCTTGGGGAAAGGGCTCAAAGACACAGCTACAGTTGGAGATCTGCAAACTATCAGTGCTCCCAAAGTGGTCTGATCCAGGGCAAAGTCTGATTGTTGTCTGCCATCCTGCCCCCGGGCTAAGCTTTGTAAATTTCTGATCTGGATTTGAGTCTGAGCAGGAGTAAACTGCTGGTAGACTCAGCTCCTGTCAGCCAGATGAGAAATTCTGTTGGTTTGCAAGCTCCCCCTTTGGGCTGAGATTCCTGCCCTGGTTATTCCTCTTCACGCTTCAAACTGAGCTCAGTTACAGCTGAAACTTCCTTCTGTTCCTACGGTCTGAGTTCCATAGCTTCTGAACTTGTTTCTGAACATGATACACAGCTCCTGCAATGCCACCCCTGTGTGGAACTTCCTTCCTCAGTACACCCAGGATCCCTGATCCTGAAATTCATAGTAATGGACAAAACTGCCAGTTTATGCTGCTTCCTTCACCCTGTGTGAGGTCACAATTCCCCCTTCTGGGGCTGAGATCTCCTCTTGCCCAGGTGCATAGCTTCTCCCTGAGCACATGTCTAGCCAGACCCTATGCACAGTGCCCACAGACGTCTCTGTTTTTCTAGGCTGACCTGTGGTGGAAAAATCTCTCACTGTGATTTTTTAATCTTGGATTTCTCCAGCAGCATTTAGTCTTGTGCACTTTCTAGATTTGTTAAGAGGAGTTGGATTTTTTCAGGTTTGGTTTTTTTTTTTGGTGGGGGGGGGTGGTGCTACCTGGGGGAAGCTTGCTACACTTCTATTACTTGGCCATTTTGACTCTGCCCCCTGGAATCAGAAAAAAGAAAGAAAGAAAAAACTAACAGTTTTATAGAACTTTATTATGTGCCAGGAACTATACTAAATAAACACTTTATAATTGGTATTTCATTTGGTCTGCACAACAATTCTAGAGGTAGATACTATTATTTTTACAGATGAGAAAACTAAGGCAAACAGAGGTTAACTGACTTGCCCAGAGTCATAGAGCTAGTAAGTGTCCCAAGATCAAATTTGAACTCAGGTCTTCCTGACTCTAGCATTCTGTTCACTGTGCCATCTAGTTGCCCCAAAATCTTAAGACCTGGAAGACATCTAAGAGAGAAAAATCCAACCCCCCTCATTTTACAGAGGAAGAAACTGAGGTGCAGAGACGTAAAGCAACTTGTCTAACGTTAAACTATTAGTTAATGTTAGAGCCAAATCTCTCAATTTTCAGTCCAGACAGTTCTTGTGCTCTTGACTCTATGCCTTGGAATTCCTTTAAAACTACAAAGGAGAGATTGGATATCAATCACATGATATGATAGGTTTTTTTTCCCTGAGGAAAGGACTAGAAACCCAAGTGAATGTCTTTTTTTTTTTTTAGAGCCTAGAGTCATTAATTTGCTTTTTCTTTACAACAGTAATGTAAACAGGCAGCATTATGACACACAAATTGTGAAATCAGAATTTGGTGCTCTGAAATTCCCAGGTCTCTAGGATGGTCCTTTCCTCTTCCATCCTAAACAGTCAACTATATAGTAGGGCATTTCATGAAAGCATTTTATTGAAGATAATTTGGATCCCATTGGTTGGAAAATTAAATTATTTTTCCCTCTCTCATCAGTTATTCATTTCTATGGAAAATGAATTAAGATATACACTCAATATGCTAAATTAAGATATACACTGAATATGCTAAATCACACATTTTTTTTTAGACTTCCATCAGCTGAATTGTGCCCAGTGGGATAGGAAATAGATAGGTAGCATAGAAGTCCAAATTATGCTTGGCTTGTGAATGCTCTTTGTTTTTCTGGCTAACATAGATGCACGATAATGGGATTACTCAGGATGCTTCAGCAGGTGCAGTGTACTTGGTGCCATCAAACTCAAACTGTGGGTACCAGTGTTATGCTGTTTAAAGGTTCTTAACTCAAAAGCAGAGAGAATGAGTGGGTCAAATCCTTCCAAGTAAGCACATTATTCTCCAGGTCACTTTTGGTGTTTTAATATAAGCCACATCAATGAAGAAAACCAACTTCTTTATGGGTTGCTTAACCTTGCATATAGCTAGATCAACAGTTGGGAATAAGAGGTGATAAGCAAAAATCTGGGGTGGTAAGTGGGCTCATTAGAAAAGGTTGGAAAAAAAAAGAAGTTGAGGAAGGTGGCATCTTATCTCTTCTTTAGGGTTTCCATGGCCGCCCCAGCCTAAATGACCCCTCTCTTTGAATCATAGGACTTAACAGTTATTTGTATGTTTGTGCCCATTAGGAAACCAAGTAATCTGTTAGAATTTTAACATCCAAATTGTTTCCTTTATCAGATCTCTTGTCCAGTGCACTGTTATTGCAAGTATTGAAGTGACTATTTGACACCCATTTACTCATTACTTTGTGCAGCACTATTTGAACTAATTGACCCTAAGACTCACTTCTTTTAACCTCCAAAGCCTTGGCTGGCATATTCCCTCCATCACTAAATGTTGGGGCCTTTTTTTTATGTCACCTCTTTTTTTTTCTGCAAATATATTTAGGGTGAAGAAGCTGAAGGAGACCTTTGCTTTCATACAGCAGTTAGACAAAAATATGAGCAACCTCCGAAGCTGGTTGGCTCGAATTGAATCTGAGCTTTCTAAACCTGTTGTTTATGACATCTGTGATGATCAAGAAATCCAGAAGAGACTTGCTGAACAGCAGGTGGGAAAACTGAAAATTAGCATTTTAGAATGTAGTTCATTCTAACTTTTTAAAAATGTGTTTCAAATTATTTCTTTACAACTTTTAGCACAGTAGAATGTTCATATCATATGCTGGTTTCTTTTCAGAGAAAACTAACTACATGTGCTCATACGTGTATAAACCATTCCATTTACTGGGGTACATGTTTCTCTCATCCACAGTCTTCTGTGTTAAAATGCAGAACTGCCTTCTGTAAAATACAGAACTTGATTTTTGAAATAGGTGAGAGAATTTAGGGACATGATCAATTTGGAAGCCTTTGAATCTAATGAGTCTCTTTTTTTCTTCTAACAAAACTTCCTTGGGCCTTTAGACACATTCTCAGGTGTGTTTATTAGTTGACTGTGATAGAAGCGGCTGGAAACAGGGTTGGACCATTAGTCACTAAGGACTGTTAGTTGTTATACATTTCTTTAAGCCGATGTTACCTATAGCTTGAAAAACCTTTCTGGTCCATTATGTTCCTGACTGACTCTCTTCACAAGTGTACTTGCTCCATCCCCCGTCTCACACCCAAACAGTGCCCGAGATCTATTCCTATGGGATTATAGATTTAGGACTAAAAGGGAACTTGGAGGCGATCTAGTTCTTTTAAAGAAGCAAAACTGAGGCCATGCGAGGTTAAATGATTTACCCAAGGTTAAACAGGTATCAAATGACAGAGCTGACATTTGAACCCAGATCCTCAGACTCCTTACACCAGTGTGCTTTCTACTAATTCCATCTCCCCTCTTCTCTAGAGAGGTAAGATTTAAAAAAAAAAATCTAAATGATTTTCCTTCATCCTATTTTCCTTAGCCCAATGGATTGACTTGGTATGGCAAAAAGTATGGTTGTTCATGGATGAGCATTGATGTTCATCACTGTTTTAAATCCTCACCAAATTTCACCTTCACAGAAGTATTAGTGGCTTCCTCTCACAGGTCAAATGGTCAATATATGAGAAGTACTGTGCTCAGATTTCCAAAGTATGCGATGACAGAGGTGAGATCCCAAATAGATCAGGTCTTTATGTGTTAAATTTTGGCAGAAAGTGAGGCATCCATGAGTGATATTCATTAATTTTACTTGAGTGTATACAAGTTATATAATTGCCTGTTTTTAATTTGCACGTACCCTGATAATGATAAGAGGCATTATGGCACAATGAAAAGTATACTGGGTTTGAAGTCGAGGGAACCTGAGTCCAGATCAGAGCTCTGTAACTTACTTCCTATGTGACCAAGGCAAGGTTTTCTGGGCCTTAGTTCCTCAACTATAAAACAAAGAAAGAGGTTGGAATAGATGGCCTTTCTAGTGCCTTCTAATCTAAACCATGTTCTAGTGTGGGTCATTTATTAATACTTGGGAACTGTTTTGCTTTCTCCATTGACTCTTATGTAAATAGATTTGAACAAGTGTTTTTTTTTAATTTGACTGTAAAATGATGGTTATAAATAATTTACCAAATGGCCTAATACAAAGTTAAATACACATTATAAAATCCTTTTTAATTTTAATGTTCTTCTCAGGTTTGATTTGGTACCTTTCAGGTGACTATTTCTCCTTAATGTAATTGTCTGCAGCATTACAACTAGTTTGATCCCTTAAAATGAAATATTCTGACAGCATATTAACCTTGCTGGTAGCCATTATACTTAGAGTGAATAACTAATTGCATCAGGTATTTAATTTTTACTATCTCTCTGACTCCTAAAAGGAAGACAGACTGGCTGTCGGTTGAGGGCTTGTCATTTTTTCCCCGACATTTTACAAGATAAAACCTGATTAAGATGCAATCTTTTGGAGATATCATTTGAATTAACTATTGTCCTATTGACCTCTTTGTTCTTGAAAGGAAATAGTTGTTGTTGTTCAGTTGTGTCCAACTCTTTGTGACCCCATTTGGGGTGTTCTTGGCAAAAACACTGGAGTTGTTTGCCTTTTCTTTCTCCAGCTCATTTTATAGATAAGGAAACTGAGGCAAACAGGGTTCAAAATAACCCTGTGCCCAAGGCCATACAGCTAGGAAGTGTCTGCAGCTGGATTTAAACTCAGGAAGATGAGTCTTCCTGACTGCAGGCATGGCACTCTATCCATAGTGTCAAATAGCTGCCCCAATCTGAAGGTGGTTAACCTGTAGTCCTATTTTGAGACCAGATGATCACAGATTTAGAAATGGAAAGGACTTTACAGATCTTCTAGTCCAGCACCCTCATTTTACTGATGAGGGAACTAAAGGCAAAGAGAGGTTAAGTGATTTGGGTCACACAGATAAGAAGCATCAGAGATTAGAACCCTGTTGTTCCTTAGCACTAATGACTATACCTCACTGAGGTCTCCTACTTCTATTACCAAGACTTACAGAATTGATTTCCAATGCTACTATTCATATAACAAGTTAGAACTTTCTTGAATTAGAACTTTAAAAGGCTACAGTAATTTATTGTGTGTTCATGTAAGCCACTACCCAAAGACATGACCTGTCCTCAGTACTGAAAACCAAAAATGTAGATCACCAAGGAATTACTTATGATCATATTCATTTATATTACAACTATCCTTCTAAAACATTTTTCCTGATTGCATAATAGAAAATATGACATTGTTGCTTTCAAAAATAATATGCCGTATAAGCCCCTGTTTACCAAAGAGATGTCTTCTACTCCAGATTTCAGTCCCTAATACCTTTCGATCTATATAACTCAGAACCTTTGCTATCAATGGGTTGCCTCTAAGCCCAAACAACCATTGTAGAGAAGAGAATGACTTCATAATAAGAATACTTTTGGTACTTCAGTAACTACACCTTTTTAGACGGGGGTGGGATCTCAGTAGATCTACTTTAATTTCTTTCATTAATGAATGAGGTTCTAACAATGTCTTGACTATCTAAGGAAATGGCTTAGTTAAAAGGTGATTTCCAGTTTTATGATTTAAGATATGAAATGCTTTGGGTAATTCACATTTGTATCTTCTTTCCTACTCTCTTTTTCCTAACTCCCTTTCCTCTTTATTTCCTTCCCCTTTTATTCTTCCTGACTAGCTTATTTTCTCTAGTTTCACATCAGCCCTTGAACAGACCTCTCATTCTGGCCAATCGCCTCCCCTTCTCTGCTCACCATGCAATTGGCTATAATAAGTACACTGTCACATATAACTCAATCAGAAAAACAGAATGAACAAGATACCATTTCAGAAATCATGTACAGAGGGTGTTTTTAGTTACTTACAGTGAGACTTCTTAATCTATCTCTGCTCTTGGTTCCAAAGTTGTCTGAAGCAGATTTTTACATAAAATTAAGGGAGTTAAGGTTGGCAGGATGTGATGATACTAACAATATTGAGTTTGTTTTGGTGAGCCAAGTAAAACTTAGAGCTTAGATTTTTACAATAATGCCATCAAATTGATTTTTACATGTTTCAAGGTAAATATTGTGTAGTACAAAATATCCAATAAGACATTTTGTCTTTATGATGAAAGCAAAAATGTCGGGGGCAGCTAGGTGGCACAGTGGATAGAGCACTGGCCCTGGAGTCAGGAGGACCTGAGTTCAAATCTGACCTTAGCACATAACACTTACCAGCTATGTGACCCTAGGCAAGTCGCTTAACCCCATTGCCTAGCCAAAAAAATAAAAAATAGAAAATAAAAAAAGATTAGTTTTCTTTAAAAAAAAAAAGCAAAAATGTCCTTTTAAAATGTCTAAATTCTATTTTGGGAAGACTTAGGGTTTGGGTTTTTGGTTTTTTTTTACACTCAGATTTTTTTTTTTTTTTAATTTTCAGTGTTCTCTGTTCCTTGTCATATACTATGTATCTCAATTTTCCTTTTTCTGTTGCTTTATCTGATACAATTTATGGTAACTGCAGAAAACTCTTGAAAGTTAACTCTTAGGTATACAAATATTACAAATTAATGTCTCTGAAATGAGCTTGCCACAAGACTTTCTACCCTTGCTGTGTAAATTAACCCCATGCCAGGCTTTCAAGAAAAACTGCTGATACGACTCATAAGCACTAGACTTAAAAAATCTTATTTTAACATATCTTGATGAAATAAAGTACTTTGTATCACCAGCATGAAATCAGCAAGTTTAAAAAGAGCTGGTAATTCTGTGACACGGCGAAGACTTTGTGAAATTAGAATAATTTCTTTAATCTAGTCTAACCTACAAGGTTAGAATGTTTTCTTTAACAACTGCTGGGAAATATTAGCCTGTGTAATTTGTCAGATTACTTATCAAAAGGAATAAATTGACTAAACTATTATATTAGCACTTGGATCATATTCTGTACTGGTTTTTCTGGTTTGTTTTTGGGGGCTGGGTAGGGGAAGGGTCCGATTGAGTGTACTTGTCAAGATCTACGTTTTAAGTCACAAATGATTTTTTTAATAGACCTTATTAATCTGATCGTTCTACCTTCCACAACACTCAATTTGATACACAAGCAGCCGGCTTATACTAGCAAACAGACTCACAAGCAAAGCAGCCTCTTCCTCATCACCCCTTCATCCAATCAGTTGCCGTTGTTGAGTCTCATTGATTCTGTCCTCTCATCTCTCATATCCATTTCCCACATGTGGCTACTGTACTAGCTCAGGCCCCATTTACCTCTTAGGGGGATTGTTGAAATAGCCTCCTAATTGCTATCTGTCTGACCTCTCTCCAATCCATCCTTCCCACAATTGACAAAACAATTTTCCACAGGGATTGTTCTGATAATGAACAATTGAATTTGGAGACAGAATCCTGGGTTCAAGTTCTGGCTGTGCCGGTTACTACCTGTATGACCTGGAATAAATCATTTAACTTCTCTGGGACCTCAGTTTTATCAACTCTAAAAAAGACAGAGGTGGATTAGGTGACTTGTTCAGTCCATTTGTTTCAGTAATGTCCAATTCTTTGTGACTCTATTTGGGTTTTTTTTTTTTTTGGCAAAGATCCTGGAATGGTTTGCTATTTCCTTTTCCAGCTCATTTTACAGATGAAGATACTGAGGCAAACAGAGTTAAGGGATTTACCCAGGGTCACTCAGCTAATAAGTGGCTGAAGCCAGATTTGAAAGTAGATCTTCCTGACTCCAAGCCTGGTGGTATATCCACTCTGCCACCTAGCTGCCTCAGATAACTTGTATGGCCCCTTTAAATCTATGATCCTACTCCCACTCCCCTGCTCAAAACTTTCATTAGCTTCCCACTGCCAGGCTAAGCTTGTATTTTTATTATACACAGGCAGACATTTAAGGCCCTCTAAAATTTGGCTCCAACTTAACTTCCCTAGGCTTACTCCTTGGAATGACTTCTACCTTTAAACCAGATTGAATCATTAGCAGTTCCCTGAACTCACTCCTTCATTTCTCATCTCTGGCTTTCTGATCTAAGGGTCGAGTCTGATTCGGATCTGATTGAAGGGTTATCTTAGCAACCACCTTGTCCTGGATGAATCCTTCCCTAACACATTCTACTCCAACACAAGCTATAATAATAGCTTGCGTTGCCCTGCTCTTGCCCTGTTTGAATGTTCCAGAACGTTTGTCTGATTTCTGCTTTGTCCTTTTTTTCTTTTATGTTTATATGTGTTCGTGTTCTCTTCTTCTCTCCCTCTATCCTCTGCCCCTGTAGATATAATGAAAGCTCCTGGAGGGTAGAGACTGTTCATTTTCACCTCTGTATCTCTTAAGGCCTTGATTTTTTTTTTTCAAAGCAGATGAAGTGATCTCATTGGTGTAGGGAGTTCCCAGTAGGAGCTTAACCTTAACCAATAATTTTAAAGGAGTAAGAGCTCCCTTAACCAATGGGAATTAGCACATGCTCTGCAATTTTGAGTCTTTGAGAGTTGATTACCTATGGCACTGAGAGGTTAAATGATTTGCCTATGGTCACATATCCTAAATGTGTCATAGGCAAGTCTTGAACTCCAATCATTCTGACTTTGCCATCCCCGATTCCACTCAAATCCCTGGAACAACACTGAACATCCTGACAAGCTTAAAGACAAGGAGCCAAAGAATTTCCATAGTCCAAGAGAGTTATATGTCATTCTCTAAGAGGTACATACATTCTCCCCTTTACCTCTTATCACCACTATCAATGAAATAATAGCTGATGCCAAAAAGAAAATATACCAGTGGATTATGTACCCATGTGGGGAGAGTGTAGGTAGGAATGTGTTTTGCTGTAAATCACTAAATGTTTTTTTTTTCTTTCATATTGACAGGATCTGCAACGAGATATTGAACAGCACAGTGCAGGGGTAGAGTCTGTATTTAATATATGTGATGTCCTGTTACATGACTCTGATGCCTGTGCCAATGAGACAGAGTGTGATTCAATACAACAGACAACTAGAAGCCTAGATAGACGGTGGCGAAATATTTGTGCCATGTCAATGGAGCGGCGAATGAAGTAAGAACTTTGAAAATGTGCCTTGGTTGTTTTATGTCTAGTGAGCCAGGTGCTCTTCCAGAGGACTCCTTGCTACCCTAGGACCCTCATACTTTACTCTTAATGTGTGAATTACTACTAAGAAAATAGAAACCAATGTATACATGAAATATTTATTAAGAAATTGATTCAAGAAGAAAACTCTTTAGTCTTTTTAAAAAATAGCATCCACAAACCTAGATTACATTCCTTTATATAGTATGGTGGAAGGAACACTAGAAGGGGCAACTGGATGGCTCAGTGGATAGAGCAGTGGGCCCTGGAGTCAGGAGGACTGAATTTAAGTCCAGCCTCAGACACTTACCAGCTGTGTGACCCTGGACAAGTCACTTAACCCTGATCGCCTCCAAGAAAGAATGAACACTGGAGGCTTAGAGTTTTCACTGTAGCTCTATTGTGGTCTCCAACCTGGACCCTATGCAAATCAATCTCTGTGCCTTATTTACATCTATGAAGGTTACAGGTAGCATAGGGGAAGTGGTCAGAGCTCTTCAAAAGAAAGAATACAAGTTTCTTGAGGGCTGTGGCTATATAATTTTGTCTTTGTATGCCTAATACAGTGTCTGATACCCAGTAGATGAGCTAGAAGGATCAGGCACTTCAATTGACACAAAAATTTTTTGATTTTACTTTGAAATAAACATTTTTGTCCTCTCTATGTTTTCTTTGCCTTATGAATAAAAAAAATATGCACTGAGTTAATTGATTCATTTTAGTCATTCAAAGTTAAATTCCATTTCTTCTGATGTTAATAATTGCTTGTTTGCTTTATTGATTGAAAGGCATGTTAAGTCTGGGATACTGTTTTTCAGAGTAGCAAACTTTTGTGACATGCATGTTGTCCCCAGAAATAAAGGGGAGGTCCATGGGAGATGGGAGCAGACCTTAGCTAAAAGAAAAGAAAAGGGCATTCAAACACAAGGCAGTGAAAGAAGGATCTGTTTTGTTTTTTTTATTTTTAAAGTTCTTTTGTTGCCCTTCATTTTTCTATTTGGCCTTTCCCCTTAAACCTCCTCTCTCCCACCTGACACATTGAGACCTTCCTCATAATAAAAGAAAACCAATCAACATAACAACTGTGTCTAGCAGGTAAGCTCATCCCACCCACCTTTCAATCAAGGGGAGGGAAGTGTGTTTCATTACCAATTCTCCCGGACTGAGATTGAATGACTTATTTTAGAGAACTGCTTTCTTTCCACCAGGATTGAAGAAACATGGAGACTCTGGCAGAAGTTTCTGGATGATTATTCTCGCTTTGAAGATTGGCTGAAGTCAGCAGAGAAAACAGCTGCCTATCCAAATTCATCAGAGGTGTTATACACAAATGCTAAGGAAGAACTGAAGAAGTTTGAGGTGGAAACATTCTCTTATTCAAAAAAAATTTTTTTAAAAATTTTCAGATCCACATTTTCTCTTCATCCTCCCATCCCCAATTGAGAAAGCAAGAAAAACAAAACCCCTGTTACAACATGTATAACCAGTCAAAACAAATTCCCACATTGGCATGTCCAAAAGTATGTGTGTATGTGTGTGTGTGTGTGTGTGTCTTTCTTTGCAGTTTTGTTATTATTGTATAAATTGTTCTCTTGGTTCTGCTCACTTCACTCTGTATCAGATAATACAAGTCTTCCTGTCTTTCTCTGAAACCATCTTTTTCATCATATTTATAGCACAATAGTATTCTACTGCATTTATATACCATAACTTACTCATCCAGTCCCCATTTGATGGGCACCACCCCTCATCCCTTCAGTTAGGTGGAAACTTTTCTGACCTAGTACTTAGTAGTTATATAGTGATCAAACCTGAAAAGGGTTCTCATTTCAGCTAACAGGACTTTTTCTAAGTTTCCCATAATTTCTCACATATATGATCTGTGGTTCTTGATGTTAATATGGGTTGTGACTGGGAAGCTAGCTTCTAAAGCATGGCATGGGAAAGAGGGCAGTCTCAGGATGAGCAAGTGTGTGGCAGAAATAAATCCACAAAGTATCAGGAGCTTTGAAAGAACACACTTATTGGGAAGGACCACAGGAAATATTTGCCACTAAAATACTCCCTTCTGCTCCTAATAGATATTGTAGGTTTATTGTTCCAGATGTCCAGTTGGTTTTATATAAAACTGTATTTCAGGGGCATTAATAACATGCCTCTTGTTTAGATTTTTCTAATTGTGGAAAGAAATCATCCAAACGTGTCCATTTTTCATGCTAGATGGGGAAAGTACTTTGAGGCAACTCTGACCAATATCCTATGTGTGAAACAGGCTTTTCAGTGGCAGATTCATGAGAGACTCACTCAGTTGGAGCTTATCAATAAGCAGTATAGGCGACTTGCTCGAGAGAACCGCACAGATACCGCCAGCAAGCTGAAGCAGATGGTTCATGAAGGCAATCAGCGTTGGGACAACCTCCAAAGACGAGTCACAGCTATTTTACGGAGACTCAAGGTAACCTCGAAATCAGTTCAGCTATATGCAGACTTGTGTCTTTAAATGGTGCAAACCACAGGAGAAAAGATAAATTTATGGTCTGTCAGACAACAAGCAGAAATCAAGAATTCTGAGCAAGGGTTTAAGTTCTCTTAAAATGACCTCTAAAAATATTGAAACTCAAAATTTGAAAAAAAAAGTTTGGAATTTTTCTTTACATGTAATTACGGAGAAAAATAAAAATTAAATATAAAGTATTTCAAATCTTGAAAAAATATATTTTTAAAAATGATTTGCACATTTTCTATCTTTCATTGTTGTACATAAGCTGCAATCATTCCTTTTTTTCTATATGTATCATAGGATATGATAATTAACTAATTAACGGGTAATAATGGCTTGCATTTATGGAATGCTTTAAGGTTTCAAAGCACTTTACATGCATTCTCTCATTTGATCCTTAAGACAGCCCAGGGAGTTGTTGTGTTTAGTCATTTCAGTTGTGCCCTACTCTTCTTGACTTCATTTGGGGTTTTCTTGGCAAAGATACTGGTGTGGTTTGCCATTTCCTTCTCTAACTCATTTTACAGAAGAGGAAACTGAGGCAACCAGGGTTAAGTGATTTGCCCAGGTCACACAGTTAGTAAGTGTCTGAGGCAAGATTTGAAAGCAGGTCTTCTAACTATAAGCCTGGTGTTCTATCCACTGCACCACCTTGCTACACACACCCCTCACCCTCCACCAGTGAGGTAAGTGCTCTTAATTATCCCCATTTTACAAATGAGGAAACTGACAGAGTGAAGTGACTTATCCATGGTCACTGTGCTGGTAAGTGTCTGAGGCAAGATTTGAGTCTTCCCAATTTCAAGTATAGAACTGTATCTACTTTTCCACCTAGCTAAAGCTAGGTCTATTTATATCAGCCATACCCACACTAAGAATTTAGATTCCTGTGCTGTCAGAAACCCTCAGACTCACTGCTTTGTCCGAGGTATTTCCAGAATGCAGTTCTGCTGTACATGTCTATTTATGATAACAGTGCTTTCATTTTTGCATTAAGGGATGTGCTTTCCAGAATCCATTGACACAATGATCATCTATAGATTATGAAAGATTATGGAACACTTCTCTTTTAGTCTAAGAAAGCACATTATCTTATTTCAGAGGTCTGAATCTGCCTCTTTTGTGTTTTTAAGAATATTTACTTTCAACCTTTATCATTCAGAAAATTTAGTATGTGGGAGTTTGAATATGAGTTTGCAAAACTAGAGCAGTGGGTTGGGTACCGTAAATCATCTTACTCTCTGTTCCTATACCTAAGGTGTAGTTTTGCTAAAACTTTCCTGGGAAGATGAGAGTCTGTCCTTTTCACCTTTCTTCAGAAGAAGGAATTCCACAGCTCTCCTTTGGAATCCATTCCATTTTCAACATAATGCCTTCAATCCAACCTAGTTCCATTGTTACCATTGAAAACCCTCCCTATAAAATTTCAGGTATATTAGCTTGTCTCTCCTTGCTATTTGAAGGGACATTTTTAATATTTACATTCTTCCCCTTTCCCTCTCAGAAGGTATATTCAAAATTAGAATAGTGAAAGCACCCAATGAACCAAAGTCATCCAACACTTGAATCACAGAGCAAGCATATATAGCAGCAATACTAGGGCTGGAAGGGACCTTAGAGACCTTAGGCAAATCACTCCTTGTCAGTCAAATGAGAAGCTTGATTTAGATTTAGATAAAGCCTTTTCCAGTTCCAAATTTTAATGGCATCTTGTTCAGACTTGTCTTTTTACAATGAGAAACCTGAGGCCCGGAGAAGGAGAGATTATAAAATCATCCATTTAGTGCTGCAAGAGAACTTGGGGGTCATTAAATCCAGCTGCCTCATTTTACAGTGGAGGAAACTTGCCCCAGGATTAAAGCCCAGCTCCCTGACTTCCCCGGGAGAATGGTCTTTCTTATAATGCCTCTTTCTACAGTCATCCTCTAGCGGCAGAATTAGAATATGGATCAAACATACTGTGAATCCTAGCTGAGCAGTTAAAACATACCCTTTTGTTCTTATGTTATGTAGCATTTTACCAATCAAAGGGAAGAATTTGAAGGGACCCGGGAGAGCATTCTGGTGTGGCTCACTGAAATGGACCTGCAGCTGACAAATGTGGAGCATTTCTCTGAGAGTGACGTGGATGACAAAATGCGCCAGCTGCATGTAAGGATTGTTTGTAAGCATGTCCCCGAAGCAGATCAGGCCTCCCCTGTGCCAATTAGCATGTCAGGAAGTGATCTCAGATAAACTTGTAAAAATCCTGGCTGCTCCCAAAGCTTATGGGTCACCATTGTCGGAAAGCTGTTTTCTTCTGTCAGGGAATGGATTGTAGTATGGTAGTTATTAGGGGTTTTTTGTTTTGTTTTGTTTTGTTTATCCCCAGTCACACAGAATCATATTCTCCCCCCCCCCCACCCCGCTCCCCCGGGATTTTCTTGGCAAAGATACTGAAGTGTGGTTTGCCATTTCCTTCTCCAATAGATTAAGGCAAACAAAGGCAAAGATTAAGGCAAAAAGATTAAGTGACTTGCCCAGGATCACACAGCTAGTAAGTGTCTGATTTGAATTTGTCTTCCTGACTCCAAGCCCACTGGCTCCAACCACTGAGCCATCTACCTAACTCTTTATTAGGTAATAGAAAAGGCCAAGAAGTGAAATTTCCCACACACTAAGTAATAACTCTTATACATGTGAACCATTGAAATGACAGGGTCAAAATTAAAGGCCCACTAGCAAAATAATATGGGAGAATTGCTTCTATTATTGTGTGATTGAGATATATTGTTCTTTCCTTCACATAGTGTCTAGTAAAGCATGACAAGTTTTCAAAAAGATTTTACATGGAAAAAATCCTAAGTGAGGGGAAAAAATGATTTGCTTTTTTAAAAGTAAAGAGGGGAAGTATTTTACTTTAAATCTTAAAAAATTTATTTTTTACAAGCATCTCTCCCTTCCACCCTCCCTCAATTAAACAATTAAAAAAGAAAAGATAGCTAGCCCTCATAGCAAATATACATGGTTCAGTGAAACAAATTCCCACAACAGGCTATGTTCAAAAATGTGTGTCTCAGTCTGCTTTTTGCACCCATTATCCCTTAGGAAGAAGGTTGACCATGTCCTTCATCTTTAGTCCTCTGGTATCACGGTTTGTCACTGATGAAGGGGCATATTTTAGCAGCAAATGGCAAGCTTTTTGACTTTCGACCTTATTGATAAACTCAATAGACCAATAACAAGTAGGTTAAAGAAAAGGTTTTGATTCTTTCTGCAGAGAGGAAAGTCCAGCTTAGGCCTCCATTGGAAAATATTTTAAGCAGTCCTTTCTCATATTCTAAATAGGGTTTCCAACAGGAAATCACATTAAATACCAACAAGATTGACCAGTTAATTGTATTTGGAGAGCAGCTGATTCAGAAGAGTGAGCCTATGGATGCTGTATTGATTGAAGACGAGTTAGAAGAACTCCACCGGTACTGCCAAGAAGTGTTTGGCCGAGTGGCCCGATTTCACCGGCGGCTGACCTCTCACCAACCAGTAAGAGAAATGCGTTTGTCACAGACTTTTTACAACAGAGTGAGATTGGTTCAGAATTGCTTGTTTTTGTTTTTATGAATTGGAAGTAGATATCTAAATATTAATCTGTTTAGGAGTCCATACATAGGAATTATTTTGTGTTTAACAGGTTATGGTGAGAGATTCTGGTTTCTATTTTATTATTGTTCTGCAGGGCACGGCCCCTTCCTACCATACCCTCCATGCCACTCCAATTCTAAACTTATTTTCTGATGGGCAAATAATGAGAAAGTGGCAGTTATGAAGTGTGTTTGTGGAAAGCACTAGACTTTTGTTCAATTCCATTAGGATTTTATTGTATCTTTTATCTGGGAGATATTTAGTGACTGTTGAATTTAATCATTTAAACAAAATCACTACATCCTTTGGTTGTACTGTGTTCCTGAATATAACCTTCTCTGGGCATTTGTAAACAGACATACCCAGAATCAGTTAATGATGCTTTTAAAAATTTTTTTTTTACTATCAGTAAATATTTGTCATTTACTTTGTCTTAATTGCTGGTTCATTTACTCTTAGAATTTCCTGGTGCTTTGCTCTCTTTTGGAATTGACTGCTTTTGGTCAAGAGCATCAATTTGCAAAAGCAGCTTCAATCCCTTCTTAGGCAGTTGTTAAAAAAAAATTCCATTTTTTTTTTCTCTTTGCAAGTGGCAGTTGAGTACAAGTCATTGCTTAGAAGTGCCTACCTAACCTTGGGGTGCTGAGAACATTATCTAATGATGGCCACTTATAAGCACAAGTAACCCTTTTTTTCATCTCATTCTATGGACAGTTACTTCCCCCCCCCCCCCCAAAAGTGTAGTCACCAAAATTACCTCACAATTCTATTTTGAAATTCAGCATCTTCCATCATTTCCTTCCTATGACTCAAATGAGATATAATGTAACACAGAGAATTAAAAGAGAATGAATTTGCAGGTCAAATAATAAAACACAGCAATGATAATTTCCTGGTTACAATTACACTTGAGTGATGACATTCTACAGCAGGAAATCCTCCTCTCAGCCCCACCCTATACCCAAAAGTTGAAATCATCTTCCCATATTCTTCTTCAGCTTAATTTGTTTCATTTTTTAAAATTGTCTTTTCTTCAGGGATTGGAAGATGAAAAAGAAGCCTCTGAAAATGAAACAGATATGGAAGATTCAAGAGAAATACAAAGTGACTCTTGGCATAAAAAGGAGGTGAATGAGGGACCATCATCCCCTCAGTCCCTTTGTCATCTTATGCCTCCCCCATTGGGTCATGAGCGGTCAGGCTGTGAGACCCCTGTCAGTGTGGACTCTATTCCACTTGAATGGGATCACACAGGTGATGTGGGGGGCTCTTCCTCTCATGAAGATGATGAAGAAGGACCGTACTACAGTGCTGTGTCAGGTAAAGGCCATAAATCTTGAGAAAAGCCTTCCCCTAAGGTTCCTGGTACCGATAGGTTTGCTTGGATTTTTTTTCTTTTTAAATAGCTAACTGGCATTGCCAACTCTTCAATTATCTGGGTGCTGATTTTCTAATCTATGGATTACCTAGCCTTTTTACCATTTCACTTCAGCCCATCTGCTCCTCTATATTGTGACCATTTCCTTGATTTTTTTGACCTACTACTTTAGAGAGTAGAAAAGGGAAAGAATTAAAAAGTAAAAATTCAAATCTACTCATTACAGAAAGCCACTTACTCAGTTGCTCTGGGTAGGAAAGAAATTGAAGTTCTTAGTTGAAATAAGGTGTTTTGATTTTCTATCAATTTCATCTGGCCCAACCCAATCCACCCACTACCATAGATAATAAAGAGTTGGCTGTAACACTTTTTTTTAAAAAAATATCCGTTTATTAAAAGTACAGAAATTGATGATGGCTTTCACCTCTCAGCTAACAACAGTTCTGCTATTTTAAATCGTCAGCCTGAGTATTTTATCCAGTGAGGAAAATGACATTGTTCTTTTTCAGATGTAGAAATCACTGAAAATCCTGAGGCATATCTTAAAATGACCACAAAAACTTTGAAAGCATCTTCTGGTAGGCCTCTGCCAATGCATGTGTCTCAACATGGCAACATTCCTGTGGCGCACGCTATGTTCCTAAACTTCTATCATATGTCATGTCTGACTTCTTGCCTTTTTGTTTACATCATGTCTTTGGGTCATGGTGTATTTATGCTGCGATACTACTCACATCTACTCACATGCACATTAGAAAATCCTATTGTAAAAAGCAGAGTTAAGTTCAGTGCCATGCATATTTCACTACATGGGCCTGTGCAGATCAGACTTTAACTTTAGGGACAGGTGGAAGTGGTTTCCTTCACTTTATCCTCATGATCTGAAGTCTTTAAGCATGGACCAAACTTTTTTTTTTTCCCCATGGTGGTTTGGTTTAAAACTATTTTCTTGCTTACGGTGATCTCCCGGGAAGAGCTGGAATTGGGTAGAAGGTGCTAAAATTTACTTAAACATAAGCAACATTACTTTTCTTTGGCAGTGAAAGGTGTGATTTTCCCCACTAGGTCTGCAGTATGTACCAGAGGCATGGGCAGACTCTTTGGTATCTCCAGCCAGAGTTTAACATTCATTACTTTGACCCCAAAAGACCACACATACATCATCACTTTAGTTCAACTGTCATTGCAGGCTAATATCATGACTGGAGACCCTAGCTTCTGAAACTACCAGCCTCAGCAGCAAACTTTGTGTTCCGTCCCATCCTGACAACATTCTGTGAAAACAATGTGCCACAGCTGCATGACTCATCTCATTCCCATGTGGGACACTACTGACCTTTTGCAAACATGCATGCTTTGCAAGGAAAGCTGCAGAACTCATTTTTATGCCATAACCTGATGCCATGTTACTCATAATGCTTTTTTTTTGGTACAATTATATAACGTCACATCTGCAGTGAATAGAAGGGAACATATATCATTCCTGTTTGTTTCAGGTAAATCCATTTCTGAGGCTCATGGATGGCATACTCCTGACAGCCCTACTCATCAAAAGCATCGCTACAAACAAACTGAAGTTGACAGGAATGTACTGCCAATCACTCCTGAAACGAGCACCCCATACAATCCAGAATATGTAAGTCTCCTGCTTGCTTCTATACCTCTACAGTATGAATAGTAATAAAAATGATGATGGTTGTTTCCAATAACCTTAGTAGTGATGGGTTGTACTCTGAATACTCACATGCAGCACCTGTGTCCAGAGTTGTTTTTCCATGGGTGGTTTATGCTGTGTGTCCCATTGCCCACATCATGCCTGGTCACCTTTACAGACAGAAGCAAAAATCTTCTCGGTCAGGAGTATGATTTCTGGCCAAAAAACAGTTATTCTAACCAGTCTATTTGTGACTCAAACCTGTGATGTTGGCCTCTTTAGCATCATCTTGACCAAAGAAAGATCTACTTGGCCCAGAAAACATTAATAACCAAATACAGCTAATGTAACTCCGTTGCCCAGGTCAATGAAAGGAGCTGAGACAGAGAAAATCCAAAACATCATATGATTCCCAAGAAACCTTAGAGAGTTTGGCACCATAGTAGATTTACTTTACTAATTACATTGTTCTTAGGCTAATTATAAATTGAATCTATGTGCTCTGAGCAAGCAATAGGGAGTAGGAGGAGATAGCTCAGGAGAGTTCTGAGTGATTGGTTAGGAATCCAGCCTAAGATCCAAAATGGTCACCTTGCAAAGACCCAAGACCAGACCTCAAATCATCGTGCCCATGACCACACTTATTAGCTTTGTGAACTTGAGCAAATAATCTAATTTCTCCAAGCCTCCATTTCCCCATCTGTAAATGGGAGTAGCAGTACTTTCGCTTACCTACTTCCCAAGGCTGTTGTGAAGAAATACACTTTCTATGCAGCTGAAAATGCTACAGAAATGAGAGTTGATGGCTTTTAAAAATAATTTAGACTTGACTGTCGCCTTTGTAAGAGTGTTTTCTTGTTGAGAAATTCAAAGTAATTGATACATTTGCCTCACTCGTTCCCAAACTTCCCTGTTTGTTGAATTAGTGAACAGTTTTAACGTACCTGGTCAAACCCACCTTGTTCATGTTGTACAGTTCAGGGCCATTTTCCTAATCTCCTGAAGTTTCTTTTATTACCCCATTGATTGGTCTAGATCAGGAGTTTGTAGCTGTTTTTGTATCATGGAACCCCTTGGCAATCTGGTGAAACCTATGAACTACTTATCAGAATAATGTTTTTAAATGCATAGAATAAGCCACATAGGATTGCAAAGGAAATCAATTATATCAAGATACAGTTAATATATTTTTTAAGTTAATAGACCTCAAGTTAAGAGCCCCCTCATATATAGTCACCAAGAAATGACTATGTAGAGAAACGTGTTGTTATCTAAACCTTGGGGTAGAGCCTTTCGCTTCAAAACAAATTGTCTCTGTGCACTGGATTCTACAGGCAGCTCAGCGTATGGCTCCATCAATCAGTTTTAGAGCTGAGTCCTTTACTTGCCATTCTAAGAGAGCTTTTATCTGTCACCTTGTCTAAAGAGTAGTCCAAGTGGATCAAATTTTTGTGACTTTCCTTTAGGCCTGCACAGAGGCAACATTGATACTAGCCTGATAAAGCCTGTTCTTCCTAAAAAGTGCATTATATTTAGGAATGGCCCAATCAGCTCTGTGATAGCAAAAAAAAAAAAAAAATCAGTATGTGCAATGAAAATAAGCATTTGGTAATGAATGATACTGGGAAACTGATTTGTACTCTGTATGTTTCTAATTCCCGGTGATAATAATGCCAACCACCTCTACAGAGTGACTGGGAGGGATAACTAAAAAAATTGTAAAACACTGTGAAAATGTAAAAGTGCTAACACAATAATAAGCTGGTAAGCACAATGATTGTTTTCAACCTTTTTTTTTTTGCATGGTACATTTCTGAAGAAAGTTAGGAAGCATGCAAATGAAATTGACCATCTTATTGCACCAGCATCCTCTCATCCGCTTCCTGCTTTACATACATATAAATGCCAAGGCTTTACTTCTACCATTAGCTCTGCTTGCACATATGTCAATGCAATGCCACATGTGTATAAATGCATCTGTATTATTAGAAAGCTGCTCTTGAGAGGAACAGGTTCAGTAATATCTAATCCATTGATGTGTTCTGAATTACTCTTCAAGAGACACTCAATTTGTGGGTAGTAACTTAACAATTAAATCATTCTAGGTTAAACAGCTGATACCTCCTGGCATGGATAGTGTGGACAACGGGAGAGAAGGACCTGCAATGCTAAATGCTAGTGAGCAGAAAGGTCTTACAGATACAGAACAACAAGCAGGTATAGTTGAACCCTATATGGTTCTTTTAAACTTTTGTCTTATTTCTTTTATTTTTGCTCCTTTTATTAATACATCAGTCATTTCTGAATATGCTCCTCTGTCCCAAGAAGTCTTTCCTTTAACAGAGATTTAAAAAAAAAAATCAACAAAACCAACAAGCAGAAGCAACACATCTATCAGTGTCTGCAATATCTCCCATCCATAATCCCCTTGTTTTTAGTGAAGGGTGGGAGGTGAATGTTCCTAACCCTTTTCTGGGGTCAAGTTTGGTCGTTATCATTACACAGTGCTCAATTTTGTTTTATTGTTCTTCCTGTTTACATTGTTGCAGCCATTATGTTATCCTGGTTCTACTTATTTCACTCTATCAATTTCTTTAAGTTTACTTTTTTCTCAGTTCCTCATATTCATCTCTTTTCATGGTGCAGTAATATAGTGTTACATTCTTGTACCACAGTTTGTTTACCATTCAATCAGCAGGCTTTACTTAAGCTCTTACTATGTGCCCAGCACTGAGCTAAGCTCTGGAGGAAAAACCAGTAAAAAACAGTTCTTGCTCCCAAGGAGCTTATGTTTAGCCATTATTCCCTAATCAAGGGGCTTTGTTTCCAGTTCTGTGTGTGTGTGTGTGTGTGTGTGTGTGTAGCTGGTAAGCGTCAAGTGTCTGAAGTCAGATTTGAACTCAGGTCTTCCTGATTCCAGGGCTGGTGCTCTATTCACTGTGCCACCTAGCTGCCCCTTCCAGTTTTTTTCAACGCAAAATGTGTTGTGATTAATATTTGGATATGTATGGGGCCTTTCTTTTTGCCATTGAGCTCTCTGGAGCATATGCCTAGCAGTAAACTGTATCAAAACATATGGACATTTTAGTCATTATTTTTAAATAATTCCAAATTGCTTTCCGGAATGGTTATAATAATTTGAAATTCCAGCAATGTATTAGTGTGTTTGTCTTTCCAGAACCCCTCCTCCATTGACTGTCTCCATCTTTTGTAGTCTTCGAATATGGGTCCCTTTACAAGTTACTGATTATAGTATTTAAGTAACTTCCAGTACTAAACAGAACATTAAGTGAAAGACTTTCTAACTATAATTCCCTGCTCTTCTTTCTTAGGTTTTTATTTCTGTCAATGACACTAGCATACTCAGAACATTGGAAACATCTTTTTTCCTTCTCTTTCTCTTATCTCCCATATCCAGTTGGCCACCAAAATTTAATCTGTGTGATATTTCTCTGTGAAGAAGTACTTAAGATCCAAAGATAGACTTCAAGGGGTCTGTAAACTTGGATAGGGGAAAAAATTACATTTTTATTTTAATATAATTGGTTTCTTTGTAATCCTATGCATTTTATTTATGGATTTAAAAATATTTCTGAGAGGGGTTCATAGACTTCACTAATTTATCAAAAAGATGATACAGAAAAGATTGAGAAGGCCCTGCTCTAGCATCTGTTTCTAAGAGAACCATCTATTATTTTCCTTTTTTTTGCCCAGGGCATTTGCTACTATAAGAAAAGCCCATATATTATCTTGCTTTGACTATTTCAGTAAACTCCTAACTAGTCTCCTTACCTCTAATCTTTGTGTCTTCAGTTCATTCTTCATGTAAATTAAGGCTGAAAGGAACCCTGAGTTCAAAACCCAGCTCTGCTGTGTGACCTTGGACAAGTTATGTCCTTTCTCCCCCTGCTTAATTTACAATCAAGTGACTTCACTGCTTAAAAGCCTTTATTTAGTGAAGGTTTATGGACTCAAGTCCAAATTCCTTGTCTTGGTATTAAACAGTGTGTGTGTGTGTGTGTGTGTGTGTGTGTGTGTGTGTTTTGGTTAGAATTTATGTTTACAGTCTTACAGTATTCTTCATGTAGTCTAGTCAAACTATAGCACTTTATCCCTGCTTTCCTGCCTATGAGCCTTTACTCTTGTCAATTCTCTTAAATTCAAAATGCTGTCCTTCTCCCCAGTTTCCAATAGAACAAATACTATATATCCTTCATGGAATAACTCAAATGCTATCTTCCCAGACAAAAATAAATTTTCTTCTCTTGGACATCTCACAGCATTCTGTCCCTCCTTGTTGCATTTATTTTCTGTTCCATTTTTTAGTTATTTTTTGTAGAGGTCATATCTTATGCAACGGCAAAAAAAATCTTTTCCAAAACCACCATGAACTGAAGTGCCGACCTTGATTGGGGCAAAACCCTACTTCATGATAAGTTTGGTTGTTTCCAGTTCTAATTTCATGGGGGACAATAGTGTCACCCCTTTGGAAGGAAAGGGCAAATGAAATCCCTCCATCAGATAAGCAGAAGGGAAGTCGCCCAGATTTCTACCCCTCCCCTTTAAGATGTAGCTCCACATGGATTATATCACCCAGGCCCTGATGGGTGGGGCACAGAAACAGGCGCAGGGTCATAACCAAAAGAGTAACATCATCTTGGTTGGATGTATATTTTGTTTGCATTCCTCTTGATGAATTTTGCTGACTTATCTGTCACTTCAGGTGTATTTGACAGTTGGGAGCTCATTCAAGCCCAGGATCTTCGCAATAAACTTAGAACAAAACAAAACTTGAAGCAGTGGCAGCAGCTGGACTCAGATATCAATGATGTCACCCTTTGGCTGAAAGGAACAGAAGCTGAGCTGGAAGAGCTGGAGATGGAGAAGCCTGCAGCTGACATCCAGGATATGGAGCTCAGAGTCAAGAAACTAAAAGTACGGCAGCCGGGCTGGAGGGTCGAGTAGTCAGAATGTGTGGGTGAACCCAATGCTAGGCTTCTGTTGTATGAACACATACAGCATATGACTTCTTTGACTGCTCTTCTCCAGCACGTTATAATAATAATAATAGCTCGTGTTTCCATCCACAACAGCTTTGTGAGATAGATAGCACAAAGTTTATTCTCATTTTACAGGTGAGCAAGTATCTTGAGTGGAATTTAAACCTAGGCTAATGAAATCCCTCCATCAGATAAGCATAAGAGAAGTGGCCCAAATTTCCACCCCTCCCCCTTTAAGACTGTAGCTGCACATGGATTATATCATGGCACTCATTTTGCTACACTATGCTGTATTAATAATTTCATTAATACTTTATATGTGCTTGATACCACTTGTGGGCATTTTCAACTTAAGAGTTTAACGCTTAGAGTTTAAAAGATAAGTTTTATTTTTTTAGAAGTTATCATGAGGCTGACTCTCTAATGTCCTATTGTCCAATCTTAAATTGAGATTCTCATTTGAAAGGTGAAGTTCCTAATGCCCACGAAGGAAGTGACTTGTCCGAGGTCACACAGGTAGTAAGCAGCAGAGCTGGATTCAAATCCAGGATCCCTTCAAGCCCTGAATGATGTGATCTAATTTTCCCCTAACTTAGATCAATGTGAGCTTATGGGTGAGGAGTGAAATTCCCTATTTACATGAGGTGATGGTATTTCATAGGTCTAAGTAAAAAAAAAAAAGTCTTTTAATATAAGGTTAAATATGGAGTTCCCTATTTATATTAGGTGAGGTGCTGATATCTCATAGGTGTAATAAAAAAATATCTTACATATGGTTAAGCAGTGGAGTTCCCTACTTACATGAGATGAGTTGATGATATTTCATAAGTTTAGTAAAAACACAATATATCCTATTTCATAGGTCTAATAATGTCATATATAGTTAAATAGTGGAGTTCCCTGTGTACATGAAGTGAGGGGATGATATGTCTTTGGTTATGTAGTGGAGCTCCCCATTTATGAGGTGAGGTGATAATATTTCATAGGCTTAGTAAAAATGACATACACACACAGAGAGACATTTTATATCTGGTCAGAAAAGTTTCTTAAGGGCATCTAAGGAGGAAGCAAAACTGGAGGTCAGCTTGATCTATTATTACTAACTCCCCTTAAGGCCTGGGAGAGGCTGATTTGCATATAAGCTCTCACTGGCTGGAAATCCCTGCCCATTTTAGTGACCTCTCCAGACTTGCTCCTCACCTGACTGTTTCCAGCCAGTCCTGAGGGGACGTGGAGGTGCCCATATCAGTCTGTGTGGGGGTGGGGGTGGGGGACTTGGTAGTTCTCTTTCCTGATAACTTTCAAAGAGAGCTCTCGCACCATTCTTCCCCTGGAGGGCCTTAAACTGTTTTTTTTCCTTCACTCCTTCTCACCTTTCCACTGTTAGGATATACTAAAAGCCTTTGATAACTACAAGGCATTAGTGATCTCCATCAACTTGAGCAGCAAGAAATTCCAGCAGCCAGATAACACTGAATCTAAGGAACTCCAGAACAGACTCCGGCAGCTGAATTTGCTCTGGGAAAAGGCAAATCATTTGTTGGACAGCTGGAGAGAGAGCTTGCAGCATTCCCTCATGCAATGCCAGGTACACTGACCAGCTGAGAGGTCCCCAGTACATCTTGTGCTGTGGTTATGTTTTCTCACACAAGTGCATGGCTTACAAGGAAGCTGTTAATGACCAGGTTTTTGCAGCATTTCAGCAGCTGAGATGCTCAAGGTAATCAGTGGGCTTTGGTGCTTTTGGAACCATGATGTGCTACAGGAATCCCCGAGGAAGGCATGGCCAGATTCTAAAGGAACTGGTGCTGACCTCCATCCCTCCTTCACCCAGCCCAAGTGAGGGTTAAGTGCCCTTATGCTCTCCAGTAGGTTAATCCCACCTGATATGGAGTTTGTCCTTGGTGTACAAAGAACTCCACTGAAAAATCCTGAATTTAAAGGCTGGAGACCTGCAGTCAAATCTCAGCCTTACTGCTTATTAGCTTCACAGCCAAAGTCACTTGAAGCCTTTGAGCTTCTTTTCTCAGTTGTCATATGAGTAGGTTAGACTAAATAACCTCTTAGGCTTCGTAACCATTGCCAGTCAATCTGCTTCCACAGCCACATTGAATGGAATTTTTTTTTTTAACCCACAAGGCCAATATTTTTACTAGGTGGGTGCTTCATTACTTAATTCTATTGGAGAATTCAAGTCACTGTTGTGTGGGGTATAGAGACCCTTATCAGTGAATGAGAGACTCAGAGATATCAGCAAAAAGAAAAATTCATTTATTAGCTTTCTTGAGAAAGGGCTCCCTCAGAACACCAAAAAATTGGCGCTGACCTAAGAGAGTGGAGGTGTGTTCAGATCAACAGGTTATATAGGTCCTAGCGTAATCCCCTTTCCCAGCCCCCTCCTCAGGGCTCATTAATGCAAGCTCTGAGGCTACAATCTTCGCAGCAATCTACCCCAGCAACAAAGAACAAAGACACTTTTACCACTTTCCTGGAGATAGGGAAAAGCAGGAGGTTTTCGTTTTCTTTTTCTTTTTAGAGTAAATCGTTTTAGAAAGCGAGGAGGAGGTCTGATAAAGTACTAGATGTGTTGAAAAGCATGTTTCTTTACAAGGTCAACCGGCTGCAAGTGTTTCAACAGAACAAGAAGCGATTAACTCCCTGAGGAGGCTTCATTTCTGAGAGATTCTCAGAGATCATCTCTCATACTGTCACACTGTAGTTGGAAATATTCTGCTTTCTAAGTTGAGAGGACTATTATTCTTAGGGCTAAGCCTCTTCACCTCCACCCCGTTTGCTTTTCTTGCTTTCTGCACTGGGCCATTTGGTTTAAATGCATCTTTTTTTTTTAATTGTAAAAGACAATGAAAAAAATTGGTAAAGTATCTCACACTCTTCTTGTGGAAAAGATGAAGAGATGTCGCCCAAGACAGTAACACGATCAAGTGGATTTGGAACTGCTAGAATCATCTAACTGAGTTGTTAAAGGTTCAATGTCAACTTTGCAGATCTTCGGTAGAGAACCTCAGATCTGTGCTTGGCCTTATCCTGCTTAAATTTTTTTTTTTATTAATGACTGGAATAAAGGTATAGATGGCACTACTAATCAAATTTGTAGGTAAGGGGTCACTGGGAGGAATAGCTAATACTCTGAAGGACAGAGGCCAAGATCCCCAAAGAAGTCCTTAGGCCAGAGTGTTAGCCAGATCTAAGACAATGAAATTCAGTATGGCTGGAGATGGTTTCAAGCGTTTGAAAGACTTATCCTGAGGAAGATGCATTAGACTTGTTCTTTTCGACCCCAGAGGTAGAAGTTGCAAAGAAACAAATTTATTCTTGATGCTATAAAGCAAAGCTTCCTAAAAGCAAACAATGAAATGGTCTGCCTATGCAGGTGCACGGTCTTCATGGAAAGTCTTCAAGACAAAAAGCTGGAATGACCATTTGTAGGGATCAGTTTTTGGTGTGATATGGACTGGCTGCTGAGAGTCCTGCTTTAAAATTCTGTGAGAATGACTGATAAAAATATATGTATATAAATATAACTTCCCATAAGATTTTAATTTATATATAGCAGCAATATTGCCTTACGTTCACATACCACAATTTGTTTAGCCCTTCATTCCCCCTATGGATAGTATGGACCTGCTTTGTTTTCAGTTGCAGTGGAAAGAGATGATTTGCCTGTTTGTTTGTTTTTACCCCCAGGACTTTCATCAGTTGAGTCAGTCCCTCCTATTGTGGCTAGCAAGTGCAGAAAATCGGAGATGTAAGGCCCAAGTCGTGGATCCAAATGCAGATCCCCACACCATCCTGGAATGCCAGAAAGAGTTGATGGTACATTTCTTTCTTTCTTTTATTAGAAACTTAACAGTGAAATATCAACTCAACTGAATTTGCATAGTAACTATTTACATTTTTTTCAGTATTTAATTTTAAAATATAAACTATACTAAGGCTTTTATTTTTTCCCCTGCCCCTCTAAATCCCAATCAGGATTCTTTGTCCATTCGGTCTCCTTTACTTTTCCACATATGTCTAACCCTATTTTTCAGGTTCTGCTCCCCCCCCCCCCCCTTCCCATTATTTCTTAAAGGTCTTTTCAGATTTCTTTGTGTTGCTATTGGTCCTCATTGCTTCATAGTATTCTGTGACATGAAGGTATTACCATTGAACCATTCCCCTCTCATGGGGTATTTAGAATCTGGTGGAAAAGTTGTTGTTTGTCCTTCATTTTCCAAGACCCTAAAAAGATGCTTTTTCTACCAGGGTCTGGCTGTTAGCCTGGTTCTGGGCAGTCTGCCAAAAAACATGACAATAAAATAAGTTGCTCATATTTGCTTACTGTTGTCTCAAATAAAATTTCTAGGCTGCTTTCCAGGCTCTCTAGCAAGCTTCGGGTTGCCCTGAGAGCATCACTTTATGACACAGTACTCTATTTTCTCGACTGTACTACCTTGTCCTTTATTCCTAAAAGAGAAGGATAGCATATAATAAGACTACCTAGGCTAGATGAATGTCCCTGCTTCCCACCACCCTGGTGCTTAGGAAAGGAGGAAAAATATATGTATATATCATAGGTTTTCCTGCCCAGCACTCGAAGATTTGGCATCACTTACTTTAATCCTCTGGTCAGTGTTGCAATTCATCCAATTTTCAGGAAATATAAGGCACCACAATATTAGCCAGACAATTTTAATAAAAAATAGCATTTTGTTTTGTGTTATCTTTCAGATATTTTTTGATTTGGGGGCAAATTTGAGATTGGTCTCATTGTAGCTCAGTAGCTTGAGAGCAGGATTGGATGGATCAGTGCCTGTAGATACTGTACAATTTTCCCCTCAGGCTCTCCAGAGAAACAGCCTTCAGTTTTAATTTGCATCATCACCTCTGTCTAAAAGCTATTTACCAAAACTGTCTTGGCCTCTGAATGATTCACTAACAAAAGGCTAAGATGAAGTCTTTCATTTATACTTTTCAGTTGCAATCATGAAGGCCCACAGTGACATTTTTTAAACTTTGATTTTTTTTTTGAGATGGCTTAATATTTACGAATCTTCTCCATGAAACCAAGCAATTCTTCTTGCAGTCAGACCAAATTTATGGACTGTCCTCTATCTTTCTTTTTTTTTTTAATTTTTTTTAATTAATTTATTTTGATTTATCAATAATCACTTCCATATGCTTTTGAGTTTAAAATTTTTCTCCCCCTTCCTCCCCACTACCCTCCCCAAAACGGTGCACAATCTGATATAGGCTAGACATTTACATTCATATTAAATATATTTTCACATTAGTGATGTTGTAAGTAGAAATTAAAACCAATGGGAGGAATCATCAGAAAGAGGAAACAAAACTCAACAGAAGAGAAAAAAAATAACAATTTGGCTTCCATAGTTCTTTCTTTGGGTGTGGGATAGCATTTTCCATCACAAGGCCTCTGGAGATGTCTTAGATCCTTGTATTTCCAGGAAGGGTTAAGTTTATCAATATTAGTCATCACACAACGTGGCTGTTATTGTGTACAACGTTCTCTTGGTTCTGCTCACTTCCCTCAGCATCAGACCATACAAGTCTTTCCAGGTTTTTCTGAAGTCAGCCTGTTCATCATTTCTTATAGCACAATAGTATTCCATCACATTCATATACCACAACTTGCTCAGCCATTCCCCAATTGATGGGCATCCTCTCAATTTCCAATTCTTTGCCACCACAAAAAGAGCTGCTATGAATATTTTTGTACATGTAGGTCCTTTTCCCATTTGTGTGATCTCTTTGGGGTATAGCCCTAGAAGTGCTATTGCTGGGTCAAAGGGTATGCACATTTTTATAGCCCTTTGGGCATAGTTCCAAATTGCTCTCCAATATGGTTGGATCATTTCACAACTCCACCAACAATGCATTAGTGTTCCAATTTTCCCACATCTTCTCCAACATTTATCATTTTCCTGTTTTGTCATGTTGGCTATTCTGATAGGTGTGATATGGTAACTCAGAGTTGTTTTGATTTGCATTTCTCTAATCAATAGTGATTTAGAGCAGTTTTTCATATAACTATAGATGGCTTTAATTTCTTCATCTGAGAACTTTGTTCATATCCTTTGACCACTTATCAATTGGGGAATGACTTGTATTCTTATAAATTTGACTTAATTCTCTATATATTTTAGAAATGAGGCCATTATCATCCTCTTTCTTAAATGTGTTACATTCATACATGCAAGGTCATCCATGCACAATGTCCTGTTTCAGAATCTCCATTTAAAATCTTTGAGCTCCTTCGAGTAGAGCCTACCAAAAATAAAGTGGCTCCTGCCTTTGAGGAAATGAGATTCTAAAGCAGCTAGAAAGACAGAAAAGTTACCTGCCAACAAATCTGCTTGAGAGAAAGTAGTTTTACCTTTAGGAAACTCAGAAGATCAATATTTATATTATGCACAAGAATATACATGTGTATATACCCACAAACCAAAGTTAGTATACTAATTCAGTTCAAACATTTATGAAGCTCCTGCTAATATGCAAGACACTAGAATATCAATTCAAATTTGAAATGAATTGGAGTATCTTTTTTTGAATAGTACTATTTTAGAAAATAATATGGTTCTAACATTTTTATATGCAGAAATGGCAGCCTCTCTCTCTGTCCCTTCCTCCCCGTGACTCTCAATCAGATAAGCCATTCTCCCTTACATCTTTCAGTTTTTGTTTATTTTTTAGCAACTGGAAAAGGAGCTGTTGGAACACCAGCTTCAAGTAAGCTCTCTCCAGGAGATCTCAAAGTACCTACTTGCTAAGGGAGATAGAGAAGATTATATTGAAGCTGATGAAAAGGTTCATGTCATTGGGAAGAAACTCAACCAGCTACTGGACCAAGTTTCCCAAGATTTAGAATCTTTGCAGGGAAGCCAGGTAAGCCAACTTATTCTATAAAGATTCAATATAATATCTCAAGATTCAGGGGAAAAAAAAGTCTTGGCTTATTATGTGCAAAATGAGCCCTGGGTATACAACCCAATATTATCAGTCTGTGGGAGGAAAATGGGAAGGGCAACCAGAGTTAACAGCAGTCTTCCTGAGACAGGGAATTGAGCTGATTGTAGGGAGACAGAGTAAAAGAAATGAACTTCTTCTAGTCCCCAGGTCACTTGTAGTGCAGTTGTTTCTGCCCTTCTCAATGCCACATTGGCATAACCATAGTAATAGCTCACAATTATACAGCACTTGAGGGTTTATCAATACTTTCTTCACAACAGCCCTGGGAGGGAAAGAGGGAGGTAATATAAGGAAGGGTTAGTCTCCTTTTATCAAGGACTAAACTGAAACTCCGAAAGTAAAATGACTAGACTATGGTCCTACAACTAGTAGTAAGTTCCAGAGCCAGAATTTCATCTTAAGCCTCCTTCCCACTTTACCATCTCGAGCACCTGTCACTGTGTTATGGTAGCTCCCTCTTATGGTATGGCAAGGGAATGGAAATCTCTTGATGGTCAGAGAACAAGCTAAACAGCCTGGTCATGCAGGCTGCTTGGCAAAGGGATTGGAATGAAAGGTATAGGATACAAAAGTGAGGCTACTGCTCCCAGGGGGAAGAAAGGGGGAGCTCTTTCTTTTGGGAGCTTTCAGATTCACTTTCAGGATAGCTTCTGTGTCTGTACCTGTAACAATGGATGCACTGTGGCTACTACTCTATCATATCAGTCAAATATAAGAGCTAACATTTATATAGCACTTTAAGGTGTGCAAAGTACTTTACCTGTTATCTTATGGCCCTCACAACAACCCTATGAAATAAGTACCATTGTTATACTTATTTTAACAAATAGGGAAACTGAGACAGGATTTGGTCTTCCTTGTTTCCAAACTTAGCTCTCAACTTACTGTGCCACCTAGCCATCTCATGCATACCTGTCTTGGCACTAATAGTGCTTTTATAAAAGGGGAAAGGGGGGTTCAGGGAGAGTGGCAGCAGGGGCTTAGGAATAAACTACTCAAGCGAAAAATGATACTCTAAGAAATATTCTAAAGTATTTACTCCAAAGGACACTAGAAATTGCCCAGAATAAATATAAATATGTTGTTTCATGTGTGTGTGTGTGTGTGTGTGTGTATTTATAAATATATATATATGTAGATTTAAAAGAGTTTGGGGTGGGGGCAGCTAGGTGGCACAATGGATAGAGCTCCAGCCTTGGAGTCAGAAGGATCTGAGTTCAAATGTGACTTTAGACACTTGACACTTACTAGCTGTGTGACCCTGAGCAAGTTACTTAACCTTGATAGCCTCACTTAAAAAAAAAAGTTTGGGGCTGAATTTCTATTCCTAAAGATCCAGACCTGGACTGAGACAATTTTTTTAGGGATGTATTTTATATGTATGTTATGTATGTGTATTTTATATATGTATATATATTTTCCCTAAAAAAATAAAATTGCCTCAGCCCAGGTCTGGATCTCAAGGAATAGAAATTTGGCCCCAAACTCTTTTAATTCTAACCATGAGACTTCATAGTATAGAAACCATCCATTGTGCACACATAGAAAATGGATATAAACATAATAGGCTTTACTCCCCCAGCCCTCATACATCTCAGCTGATTCTGGCTTCTGAGAAATAAAGTAGCACAAGTGGTAGATTTAGGAGAATCAGCCCTGCCCCAGACTACAGCTTCTTTCCTCAAGTACTTAGGGCTTTCACTGTTTTCTACTCAAGAAGGCAAAGGAGCTGTATCCTTTTTACCAGATAATGATATGCATAGTAGACGACTTCCTTTTGGAGTCAAGGGTTATGCTTATGAAGCATCACTCTGGATTAATAACGACGAATGGTGGTTTATATTTACATTTATGTATAGCACTTTCATCTTTGCAAAGTGGGAGGTCATCATGCTACCAAGCATAACTTATAGGTAAGGTATCATATGAGGACTTCATGATTCATAATTAGAAGACGCGATGAACCAGTCATGTAGCCAGAGTGAGAGATGACAGGCCAAGCATTGCGCTCAGCTCCAGGAAATACTAAAATGAAAACTTTTTAGAACATTAGGTACCTCCTCTATGAAAGTTTTAGGAAAAGAAACTGAGAAAATTGGCACATAAGGAGAAAGTAGAGGTGGGTTGGTGTCCTCACCAATGGAGAAGGGTGTGCACCACTGAAGATGATTCAGTCCACATTCTTTATGACCAGGGAGGAGGAAGATTGCAAGCTTTTGTTTCTTGAGAATACTCCAGGCATTTGCATCCTGGCATTTGTGCTGGACTCACGCTTGTGTTGAATTATACTTTGTGGATGTTTGCTTGAAGTTCTTCCCACTTAAGCTTTGTTTATGGATTTCAGGATGAGGATACAACATTGACAGCTTTTGATGATGTAGACAGTAGTGACCATCACCTGTCATCGAAGTCCATGCCTACTGAACAAGAAAAGGTAAAAAAAAAAAAAGCAGCCACAACAACAACTTTTTCTTTGATAATGGAATTTGCATTATTAGAACATGTTACCCTGATGACAGAACCATAAGACTCACTCGCTAAGACATCTGCACAAGTTCCATGAAACACATATTATTGCAACTCATTCCATTCTTAGATCTAATTGCCAAGAAATTGTTTACGTGAAACCTAACCCAAATTCCTAGTTCTACCTTTTGGGGTCAAGCAGAACAGGCATAAACCCTCTTCCACAAGCAGACCCTTCAGAGAGCAGTGCATATCTATTCCCTTGGTCCAAGTCATAATATCCAAGATTTAGAGCCAAAAGGAGCCTTAGAGACCACTGTGTCAGCTATTTTGTTTTGAACAGTCAAATTTTCAGGGTACTTGATTAGCATTCATTTGGTATGTGCTACTGAGAAAGTCAGATTATACACATTCCAATCAAATTAGCAGGTTATCTAATCAATCCCTAACCTTCCGTATGATTTGTTTTTGAAGCACACTGAAAAGACTTACCCAGAGAAAACAAATTCTAAGTCCTTCAAAAGCTAATTGACATGCCCAAGAGCAGTATTGAATGTATTTCCAGATGGAATTTTATCAAAAAATGAAAAGTGAAAGAGCTTTCAATATTTCCTAACTATTTTTAAAAGTATATTTTATTGATGCCTATTGTCTTTACACCACAGCCATTTCTAGCGGGGAAAAGTCCTTTCTTCTCCTCCCACCAAACTGAACTCCTCTCCTTCTTATAATATATTGAGGGAGAGAAAAATAATCACATAGGTTTGCCTCCATATCAAATCCCATGGCAGTAATGACAAACTCACTTCTTCGACTGTACCAGTCTGTACTTTGACTAAAGTATCTTCAGCTTACTAATTAGATCTTGTTCATCCCAATAGGTTGAAGCAGAGACAATTACAGAAGAAAAGAGCAAGAAAAATAGCAGGTAACATGATCTCATTCTGATGATTAACATGGGAAATCCATGTTCTCATTTTTTTTCTCTACCCAGCAATAACTGTCAATGCAAAGATTGATGCTTCTGTATGATTTTTGACACTTTCTCCACTTCAGCATTCTTTTCTCCTGATGTTTATAATTCCTTGGAAATTAAGACTGCATTTCTATCCTTTTTATCCATTTTCTTCTCTTTGGATGGAATTCTATGATTCCAATCTCATTAAAATGTAAAGCAGGAAGTCACATGGCTGAGATTAACATGGGTCAGTACCTTAAAAAAGAAAAAAAACTTAGAAGTCAACAATTGGGGAGCAAAAGGGATAAAGAAGTCTCACTGGGTGTTCTGCTCTTTGAACCTTATTGCTAACCAATCATTATCTTTTATTTACAGAGTGGAACATCTCTCTGACCCTGCCTCAACTCTGACCAGCTCTGGGCCCCCATCCTTCCTTTACCGGGTGTTTAGAGCAGCTCTGCCCCTCCAATTGTTTTTCCTCCTCTTATTGCTTCTGGCTTGCATGATCCCCTCTTCAGAGGAAGACTACAGTTGCACCCAAGCCAATAATTTTGCTCGATCATTCTATCCTATGCTGAGGTACACCAATGGGCCCCCACCAACATAAAGTGGTTACGTGCTAGGGTGCATCCTAAAATAACACATTCAGCATGGGTGCTCAAGCCTTGGGGGCCATAGTGCTTGCAATTCCAATGTAAGTAGCTTTTCCATTAGGCAGCATCAGCTGATGTTCATGTGCCATGAATTGGAGTCTGCCTGTCTAGGGAATGTTGGAGCCACTATGGCTGGGATGGATGTGTGGTTCATGGCAAGTGACGCCCAGTCCAAGGGTGTTAGGTTGTATGACATTCTTCCACTGGGGTGAGGACCTGGTCAGACCTCAGAGCACCAGTTGCTCTGTGAGAGACCTTAGTTGCTTTGGCAGAACTCAATGGTTTCTGTTCACCTTTAGCCTTCTAAAACTGTGTGCAGAAGAGCCTAGCATTTTTGTGGATGCTGACTTTTTTATTTCCAAAACTCATAAGACGAGTTTACAGAAGGGAAAAATAGTTATCCCATGTAGCCAACAGTTATTGAGTAGTAGTGTTCACTACAGTATGTACAGTAAAAGTAAATAGCTTAGGGAATAAAATGTCCCTTAATGGTTCAAAACCTTTCATGCACACTTTGTGATAAAACTGATAGACACAATCACATTTGAAATGTTTAGCACAAAATTGCTGGAGAACCAGAATACGAGGAAGTTTGATACTAGTCAGTTCTAAATGTAAAGTGTCTTGTATTTGTCTGCTGAGTCTGCCTTTTTTATATGTAGTTGGAAAAGTGTTTTTTTTTAAAAATTATTCTATTGCATGGATGTGGTTTCATATTGTGCATATTTTTGAAATTATTTCTCTAAATTACTGTATGAATACAAATGAATAATGTAAACTTCGATTTTTTAAAATCTGGGCTTTAGCTTGAGCTTTTGACTAATGTACAGTAAATGCCAAAAGACAGACTGATATGTTTTTTGTAAGTTAACTTTGTAAGATTTTTCACACTTTATAAAGTGATACCGCAGGGTCTTTTTTTGTTTTTTTTTTTTTTGGTTAAACTGTATAGTCAAGTGGGTTGGTACAGAAACATGAAGGTAGTTGTGGCATGTACTCCTCCAGTGTGTTGTTGTTTTTCTCATTAAAAAGAAATCTGCCCTCTTTGCAACACTGAATTTTGTAACTTTAAGCTTCTGATGTGTGACTGAGTCCTCTGTGGAATGAAAACTCAGTCTGTTCTAAGGGCTGAACAGCAGCCTATGGGCTGGATTACAATGGCTCTCTTTTCAGTGCTCCAATGGAACTGGGTTCTTGCTGGTACCAATTATGAGCCATTCACACCTCTCATCCTGTTCTATTCTTTTTTTTTTAAGGCAGTTGGGGTTAAGTGACTTGCCCAAGGTCACACAGCTAGTAAGTGTGTCAAGTGTTTGGTTGGAAGCTGGATTTTAACTCAGGTCCTCCTGACTTCAGGGCCGGTGCTCCGTCCACTGCGCCACCTAGCTGCCCCCTTATCCTGTGCTATTCTTGTCCATGTCTTTCTGGTGCACTGGAGTCACATAGAGATGACAGTGAATGAAATGAAGTCTGCACATGTGAAGTACCAACACTGTCTAAAAATCATGATTCTTTAGCACTTTCTACTCCCTTTTCTGCCATTCTATCATCCTCACTCCCAGCATGGGAAGGGGCTACATAAGACTGAGATCCATTTTGTACTTTGGTTTTTTCATGTCCTGGCTAACAAAGCTCTCTAAACTTAAGCTAGGTCTTCCTTAGGTGATCCTCAGAAAGCAGGCAGTCACAAGATCTGAAGGACAGGCCTTTCCAACTTGGTAGGCTAACTTACCAGAGTCTGTCCTATGTTGATTTAGCCTATTCAAATCCACTGTCATCCCCATGTTGTCAGAGGTTCTCTTTCATCATTCTAAAAATAGCAGAAACACACTCATTCAACTAGTATGTGTTTATTGACCACAGAGCGTTGGCCTGGCATGGTACTGTGTTGAGCTCTCAGAGGACTCCTTGGGAAGAGAAGATGTAAACACAAAGTTGTTACTTAATGCAAAACCTGAGTGATCTTGGGCAAATCACTACCTCTCTGAACCTCAGATTCCTCATCGATAAAATGCAAGTGACACCTTCATTACCTATAGTCTTTTTGTGAGGAAAGTGTTTCTTTTACATCTAAAAGCTCTACAGAAATGTAAGGTATACATTTATTTTTGTTAGATGAAGCAGGGCCCAAAGTGGACTTTGAAGGATGGTTAAGGGTTGGTTTATGTAAATGGAGAAAAGAAAAAAAGGATCTTCCTTTCCATAAGTTTTGTCCCTGTTACATAGTGATAAAAAAAAAATGACAGTAGCCTGGCATAACTCATTAAGAATGGCTGGTATTATACCTATTTACAAGAAACACAGGAGAGTCTCCATTTTTGTTAATGATGTTTTACTATCTTCATCCCCTTGGGCACCTTGCAGAACTCAAGTAATTTCATGTTAAATCTGTTAACTATTTTTCACAACACACATCTATCACTTAAAGGCTTTTTTGGCTGACACTTTAGTTGAAGACACCAGAGGTGAGCTGGAAGCCAATTCAAACCCAGCAAGCCAATTGATAATTTTTCAGTGTGGTCATTTACTACTTGGAAATTGGCAAATGCTACCCATCAAGATTTGATATATTATTCTGTTGATTATCTAGACTAACATTTTCTCTATCACTTTCTTAATAGGGGAAGGGGCATTTATATAGTGTGCACTATGTGCCAGGTATTGCGCTAATTTCAATAATGCAGATTAGACTTGGGTGTGTTATGCATATTTTCCCCCCTAGACAACTAGTGCTTAAACACTTACCAGAACATGACTAACTGATACCATGCTTGCAGAGAAGAATTAACTCTATAGTAGTTATAGAAATAATTTCAACCCTATTTCCTCAGATCTTTTTGACAGGTCAAAAATTCAAGAGAATAAATACCTATCAAGCAAGACCTTTTCCTCCCTTCATTTGGCAATACTGCCAACAGAATATTTAATTACTTATTGGAATCTTAGTATTTTCACATCCTGAACTTGAATGTGTGCCCATAGGAATCACATTCCCCATTTCAAATGGCCACATAACTGAATTCAGTTAAGCTGTTAACATGCCAGTATGGCTGCCATTGAGCAGCTTATATAAGGTTGAAGATTTGAAGAGTGTTAAAAGGGCCAAAGGAAATTTCTGTCTGCAATTTACCTTCATCACATACAGTTTTATCAAAATTGCTGAGGTGATGTGATATAATAAAAAAATGCTTTTACCAAAAGTCTCAAAATGGCCCCCCAAAATTTCAAGAACTGTCTGAAGGTATATTTTTAGTCTTTAAAATCATCTTTTATTCACTGATGATTACAACCTAAGAAACTTAAAAAGTCTAAAACCTAGACTGTTCATTTTCTCACATACACATACCTCCCACACTTTTTTTTTTTAATGCAACGATCACAGTGGCAACTTATCTAGTTTTTACCTCATCATTATTCTGGAAAACTGGTAGCCTCCATCTTCTGCATTATAATTGTGTTGAAACTTCACCTCTTTATTAAGAAGTTGTGCATCTTGTGGTCAATGTTAGGGTATCCAAGTTATTTAATGGGAAACTCACGACTAGGCAAGGGGAAAAAAGGAGAGTAGGAAAATAATGAAGCTGTGGGAAAGGTCCCACACTCGTGATTGTCTTCAATATCTGCTTTACGACCTTGCAACTGCTGTGCGGGTGGCAGTTCAAAGATTAAAGGTAAAGGAAAATCAAAGTTTGGTGCTTGGCATTATAACATCATTACTAGTCACTTCACATTCCTAATCTACTTACTCTGAATGAAGACGATCAGTTTTCAGGTACCTATGAATGGATCATCCTGGTTAGTCGATTACCTGTTTGGAAGAGGCATCGCAGTATTGCATTCACATCCCAGCTTGGTAAAGTCTCTATGTCTCTGGGCCTCAGTTTAATCATCTGTAAAATGATGTGATTAGATAGTTTCTAAGCCAAATCTAAATCTACAAGCTGTTTCTATCGTACCTTCACTATTCAGGTAGAAAGAGAGTAGAAGGTGAGAACTGAGAGGTGGGGTATTTGTATATGACTGAATTCCAAAACCAAATATCATTTATTTGTCCATTTCGCCACTTTTTTTTTTTTTGAGGCAGTTGGGATTAAGTGACTTGCCCAGGGTCACACAGTAAGTGTCAAGTGTCTGGTCTGAGACTGGATTCCTGAATCCAGGGCCAGTGCTTTATCCACTGTGCCAGCTAGCTGCCCCTCTCCACCTCTTTTACCCCTCTTTTCATGTGTTTATTATATTCTGTTTTTACAAGTTCTTACACCATCAATTTCGGTGATGCTGGGTAAACACTGGCACTAGTTTGAAGAAGGAAAGTAGTCCTTATATTCATAATGAATTCCTAAGGACTGTATGCCACTTACTTGAGCTACGTATTGATGGTCATCGTAGAGATTTGCATGTTCTACAGCTCACTCTGAATGTCCTGCAGGCTAAACATGTAAATAACAGTATCATTTATTAGGCACTGTACCTGTTGTCAGAAGAAGTCAGGGCAAAATATAAATGCTCTGAATGTCTGTAGTGTACTGAATCTTTTTTTTTTTTCTAAACCAAGCCTTCCTACATCTGTAAGTGCTAAGCTTTAAGTGCAGTGACCACTCAAAGGCCCGATCCTTCTGCTGATTAGCAAGGGAGTTTAGACTTGCTTTGTTTCCAACCTGGGCCTGTCCATCCCAGATGGAGGAGTACACACACACTCTTTCCCTTCCCCGGGACTCGCCATATTGGTACCAGATTTAGTATGGACACCCACTGGCTTTGGCCCTAGCATAGCTTAGAACTGAAATCAAGCCATCCCCCAATCTCATTCTCCACAGAGCATGAACGACAGATATGTTAACCCCAGCCTGAATTTGCTTACTAGAAAACATCAGCCTAAAAATTCCCAACAATTTTTTCAAAATCCAAACCAAAAAAAAGTATGAAAAACATTTTATTTAGCTTATGATGTCATGCCTCATTTTATAATAGCAACACATTCAAAAGAACATAGTGAGGGAAAAATACTATCCACAGGAATGGGAAGCAGAGAATAATCACTGGCTTTCATACAATAGAAGAATCAAATTCATATTTAAAGAAAGGTCCAGTCTTAAAAGTTTTAGTAGAGGTAAACACCAATTACTTTTTGTTTTTAGAATGCACAAAAGCATAAATAAAACATTCACCTGAAAGGCCTACATAAGTAAAAACTAGAACAATCAATCAATAAACATTTATTAAGTGTGCACTATGTACCAGGCACTATGCTAAGTGCTGACAAAGTATAACCACTCATCTTGGACTCAGACACTCACATGTATTATAACAGTTTAGAAAACAGCACTTGGAAATTTATCTGTAACTATGCCTATGTGAATGCTCGTGATGACCAACGTTTTGTCGTGCCAATGAACTGTGAAGAGAACAAAATAGCATCATACAATACAATGGCCTCAGAGATGAAGGGAAATATGATATGTGTGACTTGAAGAATCCCGGATCAGAAGGCACAGAGATCAACAATGGGATGGAAGCTGAGCTACAAAAGAATCTGAGATTCCAGTATTTTTTTAGGGCCACAAAAGGAAAATACGGTATATTACTATACATTATACGCTAGTGCTATACCTATCTCCAATAGTGGGGGAGTGGAAAAATAACCATGGACCTTCTAAAACTTTTCAAGAATTTTAATTAGGTAACCTGTCAATGATTAGTCACCTATAGTTTGAACTCATTTCTCACACACAATACTGTGTCCCCAGTCTTCATGCATTTGTACTGGCTGTCCCTCATTCCTAGAATACTCTCTTTCCTCACATCCGCCTCATAGAATCCCTTTCTTCGATATATCACTTAGGTACCCATCTTCTTCATGAAGCATTTCCTAACTCCCCCAATGACTCAGTGCCCTTCCACCAAACTACCCTGTTTTCATTATATGTTCTTTTTTTTTTTTTTACTATATGCTGTGTGTGTGTGTGTGTATGTGTACATATACATATATATATATTTTTTTTTAAGTACTTATCTCCCCCATAATTACAATGTTGGCTCACTATGAGAAATGATGAGT